ACTCTATCCAGGGTGACAGCTTGAGACTCTGTCTCAAAAAAAAAAAAATTCTTTTGCCTGTAATCCCAGCGCTTTGGGAGGCCAAGGTGGGTGGATCACCTGAGCTCACTAGTTTGAGACCAGCCTGAGCTACAGTGAGACCTCATCTCTTAAAAAAAAAGCCTAGCATTCTGATGGATACCTGTAGTTCCACCTACTCGGGAGGCGTGAGGCAAGAGAAATGCTTAAGCCCAAGAGTTAGAGGTTGCTGTGAGCTATGACAATACAGCACTCTATGGAGGGTGACAAAGTGAGACTCTGTGTCAAAAAAAAAAAAATTCTTTGAATCTGGAACATGTCTCAGAGTAGCACTGGCCCTGACAGTAGCCTCTAGAAAGGTTTTGTCTGGGTCTCCCTATGAGCTGGCTGTCTCCTATCCCTGCTCCCCTGCCACAATCTTGCCCTGGTCTGGTCCACTCTGGGTCTAGGACTTACCCACACATGAAGGCCCAGGCCTCTGTGAGGCCAGGGAGAGTTTTTCAACACATACCTCAAAATCAGAAAGGGCAGTGTCATGGCTGCTTCTGATTAAGGCAAAAAAAGCAACCAAGGCTTGGCACCTATGCTCAGTGGGTAGAATGCCAGCCACATGTACTATGGCTGGCAGGTTCGAGCCTGGCTTGGGCCTGCTAAACAATAACAATGACAACAAAAAAATAGCTAGGCAGTGTGGCTGGGGCAGGAGAATCACTTAAGGCCAAGAGTTTGAGATTGCTGTGAGCTGTGATGTCACAGCACTCTACTGAGGGTGACATAGTGAGACTGTCTCAAAAAAGAAAAGGCAACAAAGTAATGACTTACATGGTATGTGTCCAGGAAAGAGCCAGGATAACCTCACACCTGTGCTGGTTTCCATTCAGAGCTCTGAAGAGATAGCACTGCTGGTCCTGCTCTAGTGTTGAGGAGAACCTGAAGATGTTCCCAAGGCCACATATCAGATTGGCCCATGAGAGACGACTCCACTGGGCAGCCTGGTGCTCGCCCACTGGCAAGAGGGCCTCAGAGGGCTGAAATTTGTGCCCACATCCCTTGGACCAGTAACTGTTCCCCAGCACTCCAAGCGCTTGGGACAGAGTAGTCAATGTGAGCCAGATGGCAGCAGAGGGTCTGGGGTGCAGGTCTCTAGGATGTGGGGTGTCCAAGAGTGGGCCCTAAGGGATGGGCACTGAGGCTCACGCCTGTAATCCCAGCACTCTGGGAGGCCAAGCCAGGTAGATTGCCTGAGTTCACAAGTTTGAGACCAGTCTGAGCCAGAGCAAGACCCTGACTCTAAACATAGCTGGGCATTATGGTGGCACCTGTAGTCCCAGCTACTTGGGAGGCTTAGGCAAGAGACTTGCTTAACCCCAAGAGTTTGAGGTTGCTGTGAGTTATGATACCATGGCACTCTGCTAAGGGCGACAAAGTGATAGTCTGCCTCAAAAAAAAAAAGAGTGGGCCCTGGAGCTGGAGACCGCCAGGGCGGCTCTAGTTACTTCCCTTGAGTGGGAGCTATTTCTATAGTGACAGTAATAAATGATGTGAAATCCTGGAAGGACAGCCCCAAGAAACAGCCTCCCCATGTGACAGTTCCCACTGGTGAGAGGGGATAACTGAGTAAAATGGAAACTAAAGCACAATAGTTGTGTGTCAATTTTTGCTCTGGGATGAAGAGTATTCCTCCAACATTCAATTGTATAAAAAGCTGGTAGAAGTCATACCTCCCCCTGGAGGTGAGTGTGGGAAGGTCAGACTGTCTCTAGAGCTACCCTTCTTGGAAGGGTGGGGAGACAGGTGGAAGGCTGACAGCTGTTCTCTCACATGCTGTCAGTGGGAAGCCCAACCCCAGCCACCTTGCCCACATTACAGAGGTGCAGGTAAACTCCTTGATAAATTATACCCTCTGTGCCACACGCTTCAAGCTCTTGAAGAAAGATGCCCCTGGCTCGGCGCCTGTGGCTCAAGCGGCTAAGGCGCCAGCCACATACACCTAAGGTGGCGGTTTCGAGTCCCCAGCCTGGGCCCGCCAAACAACAATGATGGCTGCAGCCAAAAAATGGCCAGGCTTTGTGGCGGGCGCCTGTGGTCCCAGCTACTTGGGAGGCTGAGACAGGAGACTCGCTTGAGCCCAGGAGTTGGAGGTTGCTGTGAGCGTGATGCCATGGCACTCTACTCAGGGGGATAGCTTGAGGCTCCGTCTCAAAAAAAAAAAAAAAAAAAGAAAGATGCCCCTTCTCCTTGCCAGCTATAGTGAAAAGCAGAAGGAGTGGTAAGTGGCTGTCAGCCTGCCTGAGCCTGCAGTGGGAGGGAAGCAGAGCCACAGGAAGGCTACACTCTGCTGCATGCACATGTGTGGGGCATATAGTAGTGCTGCTGTCCGGCAAGGGCAAGAGCCATGTGGCCTGGGGACTTGAATTTTCTCTCCTGCTCCCATTGTCTCTACTGCTCCAAGGTCAGTTTTTCTATTTCTAGTAGAGATGGGGTCTCACTTTTGCTCAGGCTGGTCTCAAACTCATGAGCTCAAGCAGTCTATCTGCCTTGGTGGTCCCTTACTCTTGAAAGCCAGGCACTCCTAAGGGAGCAAGACTGCAGAGTGATGTGGGGGTAGCAGCAGCCTCATTTTAGAGGACAGGCTTCTGCACAGGCAAGGTCAGTGGAAGCCCTGGGGCTGGGGCAACACTGGAAGGCTATAGCTGACAGGCTGCACAGCTCCCCAAGATCACAGAAATAGAGGATTCAGAAACCACACTCACTGCCTGAATTCTGGGAGCAGAGTATTCTACCCACTGGTTGGCCTGGAATCCTGGGAGCCAGCTGAGTCCCCAGTCTTGGCTCAAGGTCAGGCTGGAAGCCAGGGTGTCCATCTGAATCTTTGACCTCTGCAGTCTCTTCTTCCGGGCATCAGTGCTGGAGGATTCCCTTGGAGGAAACTTGCCTGCTGGTCAGGGGATCCCAGCAATGAAACAGCATAGTGCAGAGAACCTTATGCTTGTCTATTAAATGTAGAAAGCACCACTGGGATTCCCTTTTATTGGCTTAATGACTGTGGGAAGAGTATCTCTGTCTTCCTTAACAGCTTTAGGTTTAAAGTAACAATTGCAAATTGATGGAACTTTCAGAAAGTGGGCAGTGTGGAGGGAGGGGTTTATCTCTCTTCTCACTTTCAATGTCTCTTTAAAGCAATTACCAAAATCTTAAGCCAGCATACTTCCTGTTCTTAAAATTAAGCCTAGGGTGGCACCTGTGGCTCAGAGTAAGGCGCCAGCCCCATATGCCGGAGGTGGCGGGTTCAAACCCAGCCCTGGCCAAAAACTGCAAAAAAATAAAAAATAAAAAAACAAAAACAGGCTTGGTGCCTGTGGCTCAAATGGCTAAGGTGCCAGTCACATACACCTGAGTTGGCAGGTTTGAATCCAGCCCTGGCCTGCCAAACAACAATGACAGCTGCAACTAAAAATCAGGTGGGCGCTGTGGTGGGTGCCTGTAGTCCCACCTACTTGGGAGGCAGAGGCAGGAGAATCGCTTGAGCTCAGGAGTTGGAGGTTGCTGTGAGCTGTGATGCCATAGCACTCTACCCAGGGTGACAGCTTGAGGCTCTGTCTCAAAAAAAAAAAAAAAAAAAAAACCAACATAAAATTAAGTCTAGTTAAATGAAACTGGCTATTAAAATGCAGAAATTTATAAAAGACACCAGCCTGCCAAATGCCTGCCTGGGGACAAGCTGGAGGCAGGTATGCAGCTGCTGTGGAAGGAGCCTGCCTTGATCTCTTATTTTCTATTCTTTTTTTTTTTTTAGTGGCTGGGGGCCGGGTTTGAACTCACCACCTCCAGCATATGGGACCGGCGCCCTACTCCTTTGAGCCACAGGCGTGGCCCTATTTTCTATTCTTTGTCCATCCAAGCCCTGCTGGGTGCTGTGGGAGGGATGCTTTGCAGCCAGTCCACAAAAAACTTGATGGTAGCCGCAAGGGGCATCTGACCATCACTGGCAGTCATTTGGTTTTTCTCTTTTATCTAGGGAGAAAATAAAAACCATGGAATTATCTTAGAGTTTCAAACTTTTACCGACTTTTATTGATACTTAAAATTGTTTTCTTTTTTAGAGACAGAGTCTCATTTATTGCCCTTGGTAGAGTGCTATGGCATCACAGCTCACAGCAACCTCCAACTACCAGGCTTAGGTGATTCTCTTGCCTCAGCCTCCCAAGTAGCTGGGACTACAGGCGCCGGCCACAACGCCCGGCTATTTTGTTGTTGTTGTTGTTGCAGTTTGGCTGAGGCCAGGTTAGAACCCACCATCCTCGGTTATGGGGCCGGCGCTCTACCCACTGAGCCACAGGCGTCACACAAATACAAACTTTTTTTTTTAGACAGAGTCTCACTGTGTCGCCCTCAGTAGAGTGCTATGGCATCTTAGCTCACAGCAATCTCTAATTCTTGGGCTTAGGCGATTCTCTTGCCTCAGCCTCCTGAGTAACTGGGACTACAGGCGCCTGCCACAACCCCCAGCTATTTTTTCTTGCAGCTGCCACTGCTGTTTTAGTTGGCCAGGCAAGGTTCAAACCAGTCACCCTCGGTATATGGAACCGGTGCCCACCCCCTCCACAGGCGCCGCCCAAAATTATTTTCAATCTAGAGGAAAAAGTCACTACATACAAGTCTGTGAACTCAACCAGTTCCATGAAGAATACATCCAAGGGACAACTGGAAGACTGGGACCAAGAGCTGATCTCGCCCAGTCTGGACGCTATGGGTTCGGGACTGTCACCTGCCCTGGGCCTTTCATCCTGGCCCTGCGCCCCTGCTCGGTGCGGTCCCGCCTGGCCCTGTCTGTGACCTAGGCTAGTGGGAACTAAGGTGGAGCTCTCATCGGTCAGCGACCAAAGGCCTGCAGAGGGCCGGCCCCCGGCGTGCTGCCCCGCTTTTTCGAGCCTCTGCGTTGGGGCTCTCGGCCACCAGTCTGTGGGTCAATGGATCACGCAGCCACGGAATGCAGTGGTTTGCGGCAACACTAAAGGCGTAGATGAGGAGCGCCGGTCTTCCAGCCCGTCTCCAAAAAACACGGTTGCACGTGCCTGGCTTGCTACCCCTCCTTCCATCGCACAGGGCGTCCGGCTCAGAGTCCCAGCGAACGCGGCCTCAGCCCTCCAGGGAGGCTACTGGGGTCTCCGAGCCCTCATGTTCGCCCCGGACTCCCCGCGGCAGCGTCCTAGCGAGTTCTCTCTGCATCCACCCCGAGCCGCGAGCAAGCGCTCCGCGGGCGTCACAGCTCCGGGACACAGACGCCCTGGGGAACGGAACTGACGCACTTAGGGCGCGCGCATACCGACAAGGCAGGTTTGGCCCTGCTGGGCTCCCATAACAGTCTTCTCACCCCGCCCCGCCCCCGGGCATTCACGGCAACGATCCTCGCGACCAATCCGAGGGCTGCGTGTTGCGCGGCCCTTCGGCGGGCGGTCGCCCAGGAGGCAGGGTAAGGGTTGCGCCTGCGTAGTGGCTGCTGGTGGCGCGTGGAGGCTACTCTAAGCAGTGCCCGAGTCGCGTTAGAGTCGGGGTCTGGGTGTCTCCTGCGGCGCACAGCATTTACGGGTTATGTCGTGGCTTTTCGGCATCAACAAGGGCCCCAAGGGCGAAGGCACGGGGCCGCTGCTGCCCTTGCCGCCCGCTCAGCCCGGGGCAGAGGGCGGCGGGGACCGCGCCGTGGGAGACCGACCGGCGCCCAAGGACAAATGGAGCAACTTCGACCCGACTGGACTGGAGCGCGCGGCGAAGGCGGCGCGCGAGCTGGAGCATTCGCGTGAGTGCGGCGGGGCCGGGTAGCCGGCCCCGGCGCCGGGGAGCTGGAGGGCTGGGTCTGCCGGGCACTCGGGGGGCAGTTAACCCTTTATACGTCTGGGCAGTTGATCAATTAAGCGGCTGAAGGCAGCCCCACTTCTCAGTAAAAGAAACTGGCCTCCAGGATTACACTTGTCCAAAGCCGACTTGCGTGCCGGGAGGTTCAGATTCTGTCACTCCTTTGCATATTCCTAGCTGTCACACCTCAGGTGAGGAAACCGGTGCGCAGGTAACTTTCAGAGGCTGCAGGTGTCACGCACTCGCGCGGGACCCTGGTCTCCACTTACTGCCCAGTACGGCATCCTTCCGCTTTTCCTGCCTCCACGTGGGACAGTAGATCCGTATATTTGGTGGTCGCCAGCAACTTTCCTCTTAACGACAGAAGCATATTTGAGAGTCATCAGTTTTAACGAGAATATAGCAGATTTGCACTTACTATTGGAAAACATTCCCATAGGCGAGGGTTTGTAAAACCACAGGCCGGACAGTGCTAACCTAGTCTGGTGACCTCCCTGACAGATAGCCCTCATGGTGTCAAAGAGTGTGGCTTCCTGGGCCCAGGTCTCTTTCCCCAACCTTCCTTTCTGCTGAGACTTTAAGATTTGTGTTAGTTGTGATTAAAGTGCCAAGGGCCTTGGAATGTGTACGGTACTAAGGAAATATGGTGGTTCTCACCTTGGCCGGGACTTCTTTTTTACAAAGATGATCCTGTATAGGGAAGCCTTGGGGTGAAATAATGATAAGCAGAGTTTTCTGCTTTAAGAAGGGACAGGGAGCTGAGCACTCTTCTAGCTCAGTGGTCAGGGCGCTGGCCACATGCTCCAGGGCTGGTGGGTTCGAACTCAGCCCGGACCTACTAAACTAACGACAACAACAACAACAAAAAAAAAAACAGCTGGGCATGTGGCAGGTGCTTGTAGTCCCAGCTACTTGGGAGGCTGAGGCAAGAGAATGACTTGAGCCCTGTAGTTTGAGGTTGCTATGAGCTATGATGCCATTGCACTCTACCGAGGGTGACAAAGTAAGACACTGTCTGAATGAAAAAAAGGGAGAGGGCCTGGCACTTTAGGGAAAGACTTTCTTACCCTTCCCCAGGGCCCACAAGGATGCCCTAGGCACTGGTCTCTGGGCCTGGTTGAGTCTCTGATCCCCTGAGGGATATTCAAAACATTCAGATTTGGGCCCAGGCCTACATGTTATTATCTCTAACTGGATTCTCTTTGCCCTCGGATGTTTGTGAGTTTTTGTTTGTTTGTTTTTTGAGATAGGGTCTTATTTTGTCACCCATGGTAGAGTGCTATGGCATCTTAGCTCACAGCAACCTCAAACTGTTGGGCTCAATTGATCCCCCTTTTTTTTTTTTGAGACAAAGCCTCAAGCTGTCGCCCTGGGTAGAGTGCCGTGACATCACAGCTCACAGCAACCTCCAACTCCTGGGCTCAAGTGATTCTCCTGCCTCTGCTTCCCAAGTAGCTGGGACTATAGGCACCTGCCACAGTGCCTGGCTATTTTTTGGTTGCAGCCGTCATTGTTGTTTGGCGGGCCCGGGCTGGATTTGAACCCACCAGCTTAGGTGTATGTGGCTGGCGCCTTAGCCGCTTGAGCCACAGGTGCCAAGCCTTAATCGATCTCTTGCCTCAGCCTCCCAAGTAGCTGAGACTACAGGCACCCGCCACAATGCCCACCTATTTTTTTTTTTTTGAGACAGAGCCTCAAGCTGTCCCCCTGGGTAGAGTGCTGTAGCATCACAGCTCACAGCAACCTCCAACTCCTGGGCTCAAGCGAGTCTCCTGCCTCCGCCTCCCAAGTAGCTGGGATCACAGGCGCCCGCCACAACGCCCGGCTATTTTTTTTGGTTGCAGCCGTCATTGTTGTTTGGCGGGTCCGGGCTGGGGATTCGAACCCGCCACCTTAGGTGTACGTGGCTGGCGCCTTAGCCGGTTGAGCTATAGGTGCCGAGCCAATGCCCACCTATTTTTAGAGATGGGGTCTTGTTCTAGCTCAGGCTGGTCTCTGAAGTCACTTTTTTTTTTAAAAGATAAAGTCTCAAGTTGTTGCCCTGGGTAAAGTGCTGTGGCGTCATGACTCACAGCAACTCTTGGGCTCAAGTGATCCTCTTGACTCAGTTTTTCTTTGTTTTTTTTTTTTTTTGGCCGAGGCTGGGTTTGAACCTGCCACCTCTGGCATATGGGGCCAGTGCCCTACTCCTTTGAGCCACAGGTGCCACCACTCAGTTTTTTTTTTTCTTTGAGACAGAGTCTCACTTTATTGCCCTTGGTAGAGTGCCATGGTATCACACAGCTCACAGCAACTTCCAACTCCTGGGCTTAGGTGATTCTCTTACCTCAGCCTCTGGAGTACTGGGACTACAGGTGCCTTACAACGACTGGCTATTTTTTTGTTGCAGTTTGGCTGGGGCTGGATTTGAACCCATGACCCTTGGTATATGGGGTTGGTGCCCTTCTCACTGAGCCACAGGCACTGCCCAGTTTTTCTATTTTTATTTTATTTATTTTTTTTTGAGACAGAGCCTCAAGCTATATTACCCTGGGTAGAGTGCTGTGGCATCACAGCTCACAGCAACCTCCAACTCCTGGGCTCAGGTGATTCTCCTATCTCAGCCTCCCAAGTAGCTGGGACTACAGGTGCCTGCTACAACGCCTGGCTATTTTTTAATTGCAGCCATCGTTGGTTGGTAGGCCCAGGCTGGACTCAAACGTGTCAGCTCAGGTGTATGTGGCTATGTGGCGGGTGCCTTAGCTGCTTGAGCCACACGTGCTGAGCCAGTTTTTCTATTTTTAATAGAGATGAGTTTTCGCTTATGCTTAGGCTAGTATCAAACTCCTGAGCTCAAGCAATCTTCCTTTCTTGTCCTCCCAGAGTGTTAGAATTACAGACGTCAGCCACTGTGTTGGCCTTGCTAGTTGATTTT